ATGTTGTGCCTCTACACTAATTGGCCCCGGTGGGTCGGGCTGCAACGCCTGCGCGGGTGTTCTGAGGGCTCCACGCAAGGCCCATCCACACAAGTCTGTGAATGTCGGTGGGGAGGTTCGCTCCCCCGTGCCATGTAGATCTCTCCTCTGGCCTCCATAGGGACGCCCTTAGTAAGGCCCAGAGATGGGAGGCTAGGCTGCGAAGGGATAAAAGGAGCCAATCCTCAACCTGAACCACCATGTCACTGATGTTAACTAGACTAGACCCCCTGGGAAAAGACCCAGGGGCAGCTCTAGCATGGAATTAATGAACTATACATGGCAGGGGAATCCTTCCCTACTAGGAATACAGCACACCTGCTGGTTACAGTAGGGCAGGGCCAGCCTTAGGGGAAATAGCGCCCTGGGCAAACTTGTGTTTTGGTGCCCCTGATGCCTGTGGGCATAGCACCACCCATTTTTCCTGGCACCTATGGGCTCCCAAACCCCTTTCCCCTTTCCTGTGCCCCTTTACCACTAATCCCTGCATTGTACCCACTTTGCCCCAACTTCTGCACAGTGCCCCCTTCCTCCCAGCCTCAGCCCTGTGCTTCCAGCATGTCCTGACACACTGCCCCCCTGCCCAGTAAGCCTCCACCCCTTTTGCCCAGCTGCCCCTCACCCTCTGGCTATGGCGCTTTGGGCATGGGCCCAGTTTGCCAGGCCCTAAGGCCATGCCTGCAGTAGGGCTTGTAAGACCTGGGTCGCTATTCTGAGCCTCTGCTTCCTCACTTATTAGAGGGAGATACTAACACACCCTCACCCCTCTTTAGAGTCTCAGCCGGAAGGAACCATGGGAGCGTTCTACGCTAGCAGGACAATAGCAAGATAAACCCATGAGGGTGCTTGAGCAGATGAGCGCCAGCTGAACAGGAGGAAGGTGATGCTAAAGGCTGCTAAGTGCCTGTTTGGGTTCTCCAACTCCAGGGCGGGCACTGTTCCAGAATCGGCGGTGACTGAGGGTAGAAGGGCTGAATCCTCATTCATACAGCTACACGCTGAACTACTCAGTAAAATATTTATTTCTCAGTTATTTCACAAGAGTTTTTTTACAAAAGTTACTCCCCCCCAAAAGCCACCGACCCCTCCCCACTAAAAACCCAACCCCCCAAATCTTACACATGCAAAAAAAAAAAGACCCCAACCCAAACAACCTCCCCCCCCCATAGATTCTGTTACACGTAATTGAAATGTACAAAAACAAAAAACAAAAGGGAGAGAGCAAGCTTAGATTAGGATGATCCCTAGTTCCTGATAACACTCCACTGGGGCAATTTGTATCTTGTCTCAGTAATGCTTTAACATCAGCTGACAATTGGGAGGAAGCTGCCAAGATAGCAGAACAAGTGAAGGAGCTGTAAAATTAAGAGCAAATGTTTTCTAGTATATATTGTGCAAAGAAATATTTATTCCTTTTTTTTTAAACGTTTTGAGAAACAGCATCTGCAAGCTATTAAACCGGTTTATTTTCATCAATGTTCTCAAAAAGGGACTGACATTTATATCTCTGTGGTTTTGTCTTATACAACAGAAAAGAGTCCCAGGTTTTCCATGGGAATAAAGGCACCAGGATTTTCCCTTGGCTGTGCCCACCCCCAAGTAAGATTTCTCCTGGGAGTGCTATCTTCTGTGAATCCATTGCTTCATGCCGTGGCTTTGAAAGGCTACCGCCCTTGTCCGCTGCGTCTCTCATTGGTGCTTCGAGGTCTTTATTTTGCACCAAATAGACCCCACTCCTGAATGCTGGACACATGGAATTCACTGGTCCCTGGTTTTTCTCACTGGGGTAAATAGGATTTTCCAGTCCTGCATGGGTATCTTGGGGTGTTTGGCCCTGTGCTAATGCCACCTGGTGCTAAACTGGGACCAGCTCAGTCAGACCATCTCTCAAGCCCCTGCTCTTTTTCCAGTCTTAGGCTCTTCTGTCAGTGCTCAAGCTCGTTCCCATGGAAAGGTCGTCTACACGTCCATTCTTGGTTCGGGCTAAGGGGCCTCAGCCCCACCTTGGTAACACACGCCACCCGTTTTGCATGGAGTGTCGCGACTGTTCTCTCTGCGCTTGCAAGACTCTCGTGCCGAGTGTTTGAGCCTGTGCGTGTGTTATGGGCTTCACAATGTAGCATTAACCCGGAGGCTGGTGGGTGCTTGCTGGCCAAGAGGCTCCCCTTAAGTTATAAAAAAAGCCCCCACCTCAGTCACAGCAGTGTGCGGGGGAGGGGTAATCACAGGGTACCTGATCTGACGTGCATCTGGTCTCATGGAGATGGATTTTTCCTAAAGAGCTCAGGCCCAGCCTGTCCAGTGCCCATCCCTAGGGTTGCTAGGTGTCCATTGAACCGGACAGTCTGGTATTTTCGCCTCCTGTCTGGTAAAAAAATTCAGAAAATACCGGACACCTAAAATGTCTGGTATTTTCTGTTTTTTTCCTGGCCAAGAGGTGAAAATACCGGGTGCTTATTGGGTTCTGTAGGGGAGCTGTCCGGCCCGGCACAGGGAGGTAAGATGGCGGGGGGGGGGGGCGGGCGGGTGGCCGCCAGCAGCCAGTTAGGGCGAAAAAGCCTGGAAAGCATTTCTTAAAGGGGCCACACTGGGCTTTTTTCAAAAATTTTTTGCTTAATAACTCTCAGGGTCCTTTTTTTCCCTCTCAACAACTTTGGTCTCCCCCTTTTTTTTTCTCAATTGAATTTTTTCCCCGGTGCTTTTTTCCCCAGTGCTTTTTTTGGGGGGGGTGCTCGGTATTTTGGGTTAAACCATCTGGCAAACCTACATCTCTCACAGCGAGGGTCACACTTTCAAAGCATTCAGGGCCCAAGATGCCGGCCACATTGGAAAATCTGGAATTGCTTTTCCAAAGAGGGCAGTTCAGGGGTTGGAGTGCCAGCCCAAAGACTGAGGGAATCCAGATTCACTTCCCTGCTGCGTGACTGAGGCAAGTCTTTTAGGGTTTGTCTGTGCACAAAAATACGACTGCTTTAACTATACTGGTGGACCCGAAGCCCCTTCCCTTCCTCCCCCCATATCTTGGTGCCTCTGTGCCTAGGGGTAAAATGGAGAAAACAGCATTTCCCTACCTCACGGCTGCTGGGAGGGTAAATGAATTGAAGACTGCCAATGGAGAAAACAGCATTTCCCTACCTCACGGGCGCTGGGAGAGTAAATGAATTGAAGATTGCTGGGGGTGCAGGTACCAGAGCAATGTGAATTGATCATTGAGAAATAAGTCCAGACTCACCCGAGTGGAGTTGGTGCCTGGAGCAGCCTAGACAGCAGCATCGGAACTGTCCCCTGCACAAACTTAAAAAACAACAAATAGTCTAGTAGCACTTGTGAGTCACGTCCGTGCCAAGCAGGGGAGGAGCACAGTCACTGCTCAACTGCGGGGGGGAGCTATTGTCCGCTCACTGTGTCAACGATCTCCTCATCGGTTGTGCGGGATTCTTTAAGAACCGTGGGTCACCGGGGCCAGTCACGCTAGACACACACAAGGTGTGGCCACCTTCATTTTGGAAACTGCTTTCATCAGCTGGGGAAGCAGGTGGGAAGGTAACTCCAGCAGGCTACTCCCCAGGCCAGGTGTGGCCCTCCCCTGGAGACCTTGATAGCAGCAGCAAAGAGTCACTCAGGCTTTGTCTATGCCACAGCCTGGCGACACAGCGTAATTGCTAACAGCCTGGCAGTGTAAGTGTTGTTTTATCTGCACTTTTGCAGGCAAAATACGCGTTTACACGGCCTCTTGCCAAAGCAAAGCTTTTGCCTTTCCCAAGGGGGGTGAAGCACCCGTGAACGGCAAACGTTTTGTTGCTCAATTGGCAGTGTAGACAAAGCCTCGGTGGCTAGCACCTCGCATCCCTTTCCTGGGTGGAAGATCAGATGGGCTCGGTAGGGCTTGATCCTATCATGGCTCTAGCAGATATAAACCCCACTGCAGCTCTCTAGCTCGTGGGGTTCTCTTTATGGATGATCTAGGCCAGCCCCTTAGAAATGCCACAGGCACCTTTGTCCTGGAGCTCCTTCAGCATCTGTGCCTTTTGTGGGGAAGGGGGTTTCGCCTTCACTCCCCCCCTCCCTTGCTGCCTCTATCAGAAAGAGGCAGCAAGGGAGGGGGAGGGGTGCTTCAAAGTGGCAGCATTGCATGAAGCTTGGGGCCAGACCCCAGTCTTCACGCAGCGATGCTGCTTTGAAATACCACATGCAGCCCAGGGCCAGGTGGGGTGTCCCCAGGCTGCACATAGTGTTTCAAAGTGGCAGCCCCACGTGGAGCCAGGATCAGCTGGGGACGCCCCCGCTGACTCCAGGCTCTGTGCAGCACTGCCGCTTTGAAACGCTGAGTGGATCCTGACGCTGGGCTCCCCACGGCATTTTAAAGCGGCAGCGCTGCATGGAGCCCAGCTGACCCCCTGCTCTCTCCAGTGCTTTTGCTCCCTGATCCAGTTGACCCCGTGCTCCCTGCAGCGCTTTTGCCTTTGAAGTGTAGCAACAGCCCCATGGCTGTTGCTACACTTCAAAGGGGGAGGCACCCTATCGATTAATCAGTTTGCATCGACTATTCAATTAGTCAATTAATTGAAATTTAACATCCCTACACCACATTGCAGGATATGCGGCCTTTCTCCCTCCGTAGCGATGGCAACAACAAAACTGCTGGGCTTCCCATAGACTGAATGTTCTCTATAGGGGCGCAAGTGGTCCCCTTTGCTCCTAAAAACACCAGTACTTCCATTATTCGTGCCTAAATTCTCAGCAAGACAAAGGCCTGAAAGCGAGTGGGGCCGGAATGGGCTGGGGGACGGGCGCTGACCTGTGAGACCTTTCCCTTCTAAGTCATCGGCTCAAATCGGCGCACGTCTGTTGCGACCAAAAGATTTTTTTCAGCTGCTGCCTGTTTGGTGGCCTGTGTGAAACAAATGAGCCGTCTCATCTCATTTTTCCAGTGGATACTTTGTCCACGTTAGAAAGAAAGCGAGTGGGGCCGGAATGGGCTGGGGGACGGGCGCTGACCTGTGAGACCTTTCCCTTCTAAGTCATCGGCTCAAATCGGCGCACGTCTGTTGCGACCAAAAGATTTTTTTCAGCTGCTGCCTGTTTGGTGGCCTGTGTGAAACAAATGAGCCGTCTCATCTCATTTTTCCAGTGGATACTTTGTCCACGTTAGAAAACCAGCTCCTCACACCAGCCACTGTATTGTGGATGGACTCAGCAGAGAGGCCAGCGCTTGGCTGGAGCATGGAAACTGACTGGACTTCTCCTCCCTGGCTGGGAGACCCATGAGAGCAGGATTGAGCTAAGTGGAGTAGCCGTACCAAGGGAAACCAGTACTGCTCGTGCTATTTCTTATAATGTGCACATGTAAGGGAAGCTGTCTGTCCAGCCCCCTACTGTAGCCCCATTCCTTATACCCCTGCCTCACAAAGCTCAACACAGGACCCCCGAGACCCCCAGGTGAGGTTCTGCTTGTTCACATCTTGCATTGTAACTGAAAGTCCTGCTGATGGGCTTTGGCTATTCTGCAGGGACGAGCTTGCTAAGAGGAGGGGGTGATGGGGAAAGCCAACCGCTTGCTGCAAGAGGCATTTAATTTACAAGCCCAAGCCATCAACCACATCCTCAGGCTACAGCTCCATAAGAGAGGCAGTGTTTCCGACGGAGGCAGCCTGCCTTGGCCATTTGCATAGAGCTTTGACAGCAAGGCACTCAGCTAAAGCCTATGGATTTTTTTTCCGCCCAGAATAGTTCAATGACCCCAGCCCCTTCAGACTTGCTTGGGAATGCATTGACTTAACCACAAAGTGCAGAGCAAACAGCAACTTTTGGAAAGCTGTAAAGTCCCGTCAGCTGGGTGAGAAACTCATTAGCTTGGAGTGAGTGCTGGTCACTGAAGCCATCTTTGCCTTTGGTTAATGGTTACTAAAAAGTGGGTAGCATGGATCTTACATTGGCACGGGCAGCTGGCAACTGCTAAATGTACCCAGCGCAATGCAGGGCGAGGGTAATGAATATATACAGCAGGGATGGGCCATTCTGCTTGCAAAAGTCTTTCTTGCTCAAGCATTGCAGGCTGGTGACATAAAAATACATGAGCACATCTGTCAGCCTTGGACATGCTGCTGTATAATGTGAGTCGGCTACAAACGGCAGAACAGCCAGGTTTGAGTGACAACCGAAGAAAAGGGGCCTATATAATTGACATAAGACAAGCTAATGATCCTCCCAACCAAGACCAGTGTCCCTAGCATAGGAGGATACTCAGTTGCTCTCGGGCTGTCCCGCTGAGACATCCAAATTGTCAGTTCCTGTTGTCCAATATTCTTTCCTGCTCGGAAGCATTTTCATGTTACCTTGGCAAGTCTGTTCATCCTTGAAACGTGTGTATATAGATATTCTAGAGCGTGTGGGGAAAGCACCTTTCTTCCCAAGTTCACTCCTTCTGTGGCTACAATTACACCCCACTATCCAAAGGGGATTGTGACTGGCTCTGCTTTCCAAAGGGACAAGGAGAAGAAGAGGATGCTGGTGATGCGGTTGGCACTGGTTGAGAGTCACTAGGGTTTTGGTTTAGACTGGGACAGGAGCAGCAAGCTGGCATCTTGTGATTGGGAAGATGCTCTCCCGCCTAGGGCAGGCACGTCGGTATTTTGTCCCGGTTCTGGGGATGTGCAGTCAGTTCACAGTAGGCACCTGGTTCTGATGCAGGCTGAACTCTTTGGCTTTGAGGCGTAAGCTGGCAATGCTGTTTGCCATGTTCACCCCCTGGGCGGGCGTCGCAGTGCCGCTTGAGCTGTAGGAAGGCACAGTGCTGCAGGGGAGAGGAGCAAGGGAAAGGAAAATCATGAGACTCAGGCATAGCCCAGGGAAAAGCTTAAGACAGGGCAAAGGCAGAAGTGGAATAGCACCTCTCTATTAGATTTTCAAGTTGGCTCCTTTTGTCAGTTTCTCGGAACCAGCTGGCTGATGCCGATAGTAAACTTCCCCTATAAACAATGGCGTAGGCTGGATGTTTCTATGCTGCTCAATGAAGGCAGGCGGTTTGTGCAAATCAGTTTTAAACAAGACTAAAGTCCCTGCCCCTAGCTTTTAAACTGAATAGGTTTGAAATGAGCCCAGGGCAAAAACCTAGCTCTAGACCCCTTCCCCTTCTCCTTCCCACTCTGAATGCTACAGAGGAATTTCGCTCCAGGCTGCATTCAAGTTCTAGGTTTGGCAATGGACTAAATCAAACTCCCAGAGGAGAATGTGTCCTGAAGTCTGGATCCGGAGCTGAGTCTGGCAGCACAAGAAAAACCCACAATCTGAGCTTCAGCCACACACTCAATGACAAGAGGAGAATGAAGTCTGCCAAACAAACCAGATGGTAGATACTAAAACAAATCAGACAGGGATTGTGCTGGGGAAAACGTCTGTCTCCGTACCAACAGTCTGCCCTGGAGGCTTTTAGGGTATGTCTACACTAGCTCCCTAGTTCGATTTAAATATCCCGCGCTTGATTTGCATCTTCCCGGCTGGTCGCCATTTTTGAAATTTACAAGTCCAGACTAACTGCCCGCATCTACAAGTGGCAGGGACCCGGTATTTCAAATTAAAGCCCTAAATTGAACTACCTGTTAAACTTCTTTGCAGGAAGAATAACAGGAAGTTCGATTTAGGGCTTTAATTCGAAATACCAGGTCCCTGCCGCGTGGGCAGTTAGTCCAGACTTGTAAATGTAAATTAAAAAAAAAATTAAATCCTGGGCTTTATTTGCAACTGCGAATGCCTACATTAGCCTTCCTAGTTCGAACTAGGAGACTAGTGTAGACATACCCTTAGATACCAAAATGGCAGCTGCTTTTTGCAAAGTTCTTCATCCAAGGCCCTCAATGCTCTCAGGCAACGGGAAAGGTGTTCGTTACTGCAAGTGTCCCAAGGTGATCTTATTCAAACCATCCTCTGAATCTGGAGAGAACCCCAGACTAGAGTGCTTGGGGTTCCCCCCCACCATTGCAACTGCTCAGCTCCTCTGTCTGTACAGAGGACGGAAACTCTCCAGCATGGACACACCCAGTGCAGTTTTTATGACTCTATCTGGTTCCAGGGGTCAAGAGACGTGTGTGAATTTGCAATATCTTTCTTCCCTGGAATGGATTTTCCAAAGGAAATTCAATTTAAAAGTGAAAAGAAGTGTTTCCTCGCAGAAACAAAGCCTGGGCAGTGTACTAGGGATAGAAGAACCCCTGGACTTAAATCCAAGGCGGTGGGAGAAGTTGTCCCGTATCTACCTTTAGCTTCTTGTAATGATTTAGTCATTACAATTTCTCCCCTCCTCCCCTCTTCCACTCTCTCTCTGGCTCTTTATTTTGACTTTGCTCCAAAGCAGAACATGAGTTTGCATTTCCAATCCATGAAGCATGTTCACGTGGGTTCTGAATTAGATAAAACAGGCCAAATTCATCCCTGATGCAACTGCTGCAGTTACCCCAGAAAGGAATTTGACCCGTTGAGTTTGCCTGTCCCTAGTTTAGGGGATTCCTAAACCACTGCAAGAACTTCTCATGTAGAGCTTTTGGGGCTCTGCTTTTACTCTCTGGGAGGGGTGTTTTTAGTGCTTAGGCTGCTAAAAAAACTCTGTTGTGGCTCCTTGTCGGTTATGGGGAGCTCCATGTGCCTCTGACACTTAGAATGTTAACTGCGCTCCCTCATGTTCACTCTTACAATGATTTTAAACTCCCCATGAGAAGACAAGGAGGGGGAGGTAATATCTATTATAGGGCCAATTTCTGTCTGTGTGGGAGCCAAGCTTTGGGGCGCTACAGAGCTCTTCAGATGTGGGAAAGGTACTCAGAGTGTCTCAGCATGATTCAAGGGAACCAGTAGTTCAGCCTGAGTAGTTAGCAACATGTTCTAAGGGGTCATTCAAGGTGACATCCCCCCTCTAGTCACAGGACAGTGAGGGGGAGGGTGGGTGGGTCACAGGTTGTTGTTAAAAGCTATAAATCCAGGGTCTTTGTTAAGATTGTGATTTTTAGTGTCTTGCCAATGACAAGCCTGGGGAGCTGAAATTCATATTTTTGCAAGTGTTACGCAGGTTTCCTTTGAGGATGAGGACTGGTCTGTGAGTCCTCCCACAACATATGGTGGCATGTGCCACATCTAGAGCACTAATTGCCCTAATAACAACGATGTGAGGGAAACCAGATAACCACTAACCCCCTGTTTTTGTCCAATGACTGCAGTGGGTTTAACAGGGCCACTTCACCTGGAATGGTCCCTTCGTTTAGCGTAAGGAATTAGCATGGCAGTGGGTAAAGGTACAGCTGGGAGAGGCAAGCCCCCAGCCCTGCCCTTCATGGGAGCCAAGCCACCTCCACAGCCCCTGCTCTCCGGAAGGCATGGCAGCGTGCCATGGGGAGGGAGGAGGGTGAGTGGCTCCAGCTTCCCCAGCCCCAGAGCACGAGAAGGGCGGGTACTCCGGGGCAGCAACACTCCATCCCCAGTACACCCATAGTAGGCATTCTGGGGGTGGAGTGTGGGAGGGGCCAGGCTGCTGGTTTGGGAAGGAATGCCTTCCCCAGCCAAGCATACCCGCCGGCCCTGGGAGTTAGTACATATTCTATCTGAAAAAAACCTTTAAAAACAGCAAATAGTTCTGCAGCGCCTTAGAGACTAACAAACAATGTAGATGGTATCACTTCATCAGAACGTCAGATGAAGTTCATCTGAAGAAGTGGGTTGTGCCCATGAAAGCATCTATATGTTTTATTGATCTCTAAGGTGCTGCAGGACTATTCGCTACCCCTCTGAAACGTTTGAATATTCTATCGGCTCATCCTTTAGCTGGGACACTCAAAGCATTTTTCCCTGACCGGAAGAAGAGCTCTGGTTAAACTCGAAAGCTTGTCTCTCTCACCAATAGAAATTGGTTCAGTAATGAGGTGCCACCTTGCCTCCTAATACTCTGGGACCAACATCCCTACAACAACTCTGAATGCAATTCAACACATCATTGCCTCCATCTCATATGCTGGCTGTGCTTGTCCCAGTGGCAAGGTGACATCTTGGCTCACTGGGCCTGCAGTTTGTTCAGTTCTAACATTTTTTTCCTACTTGAGGGCCTTAGGACCAGTTCTAATGCCTGTGAAAGCCAATGGACAGACTCCCTGGGACTTCACTGTGGCCTATGTGCCTTCTCTGTTTCCCCTGCTTAATTCTCTCCCTTGAAAGGGGAGCCGATTTCTAATCAGCCACCCGCCTGTTATAGTCTTTCCTAAGCTAGGCTGACCTTGGCTGGCTCCTCAGCACGTCCCGAAAGGCAGCTGCTACACCTGAGTTTGCGAACCGATGGGAAGGATAATGGTGAGGCTGCCTGGACTTACCTGTATGGGGATGTGGTGGTCCAGGAGAGATACTCTGGGCTCAAGGCGGTTGGCCTGGGAGCCATGGGCTGCTCAATGGCTGCTTCTTGGCTATAGGATTTGAGGAGTGATGCAGACCTGTTGGCCAGCATCGCCCGCTCGTTGCGGCGGAACTTGGCCCTTCGGTTCTGGAACCACACCTGGCAGGAGGAGAGGCGGCAGTGGTAACCTGAGTCGCGCGGGTGCAGGCGAGGCAGTTGGGAGGGAGAGGGGAGGCTGCACAGTGCAGTTGGCCATTGCACCAAGCAGGGGTCAAATTCATTCTGGCCGATCTCAGGCTGGCAGCCTGGCTGTGGCACCGCTGCTCTGTCTGACCCGTGACGGTGGCTGAGTGTGAGCTGTGATGCCCCTGGAAAATGCAGCAATGCCCCTGTCATGCTGAACTCTTTGAAGGCCTGAGTTCTAGCTGGCCAGGGAAAGGGGAAAGCCAGAGCCCTGGCCTAGAGGCCTAGTTTCTCCCCACACCTTTGCTCACCTGGACTCTGGCCTCACTGAGGTTCACCCTCCGCGCGAGCTCCTCCCGCACAAAGGCATCAGGGTAATGTGTCCGCTCGAAGACTCTCTCCAGGGCCTGGAGCTGGCTGCTGTTGAATGTGGTGCGGTTCCTCCTCTGCTTCTTCTTCCGCTTGGCAGCGCTGCGGTTCGGACTCAGACTCTCGCCTGTGGGGAGCACAAAGAAGATAATCCCTGAGGGGCTGCGTACACATTCCACTTCCCCGGAAGCAGCCTGTGGCTCCTTGGCCGGCGAGAGAGACGCCCCCAAACTGGTCTCGGGCGTTTGGCGGGGAGGGTGAGGCAAGGGCAGTGCCCGTGTCTTTGTTCAAGGAGGGAGCGGGGTCTGTGACAGCAACTGACCCTTCTTAGCGAGGATTTCATTGCCCTGCCTAGGAGGTGACATTGCTAAGTGCCAATACCTGTAATTCCGCAACACATTGCCCTTCACGGCAAGCCCTATAGCCAAGCCTGGCAGAATTCAATTCATATATCATATTCAAGGATAACATCAATGTTTATTTTAAAGCATCTTTTCCGATTGTGATCCGGCTAAATGTTCACAGTTGTGCGAAATTCCAGAGGAGAGGTCAGGTGATAGGGAGAATCAGACAATCGTTGGATGGCAGCAGAGTCAAAAAGCTAAAGCTTTATAACCATTAAAACACCAATTGTCAACATCACATGTCAAAAATGTACAAACTAAAGAGCCTGAAGTCAGGCTGGAATGAGTTCTCCCTCAGTGTTTTTCCTACATTGTCTGTAAATTTCAATTCTCACCGAGGGCGATATGTTTTCCTTCAGTTTTGTGTGCGCACGGTGAAATCGATGTTTACCCACATTTACCAATACAAATCTAATCTTCTAAGCCTGCCAAGAGGGGAAGATCAAAAATGTACAAACTAAAGAGCCTGAAGTCAGGCTGGAATGAGTTCTCCCTCAGTGTTTTTCCTACATTGTCTGTAAATTTCAATTCTCACCGAGGGCGATATGTTTTCCTTCAGTTTTGTGTGCGCACGGTGAAATCGATGTTTACCCACATTTACCAATACAAATCTAATCTTCTAAGCCTGCCAAGAGGGGAAGACATATGGTACAGCAGACTGTTCAAGGGAAAGAAATCTAGCTCTGCCACTAACTGTGTCTCATGGCACTGGGAACCTGTCTCAGCACTGCTCTATGCCTCAGCTTCTCTGAGGTGAAACGGAGGTCATACTTGCCTCCTAGAGGACAAAGGGGGAAAGGATTTAACTCGTTTGTGGATGCAATGTGCTATTTAAGTACAAAGCTTAACATTTCCAGAAGTGACCACTGATTCCAGATGTTTTAAGTGGTGGATGCCCTGCATCAGATGCTTGGGGGCTGATTTTCAGAGGTGCCAGCAAGGCCTGCTGAAGTCAACAGGAGCTCAGCACCATAGTAAATCAGGCCCTGGGATGTCACAAGTTAGGCAGCCAAAATCAGTGGCCACATTTTGCAAATGTGGGTCATTAGACTCTCACTTCACTCATCAGGAGTGCAGGAAATACAGGTTGTACAGCCCTTAACTGAGACTCTTTGGTCAGGCAACACCTCTGGTCTGAAGTGTTCCTGGACCACAGAGCCCAGGCATAGGGAGGGCTGGCTGCAGGGTAGAGCATGGCAGGAAGGGCTGGTGACTCAGCCAGGAGCCATGTGTGTGTGTGTGTGGGGGGGGGGAGTGTGGCACAGCCAGGCATTCTGGTGCTATGGCCCTAGTATCTGGGCAGTAGTGGGGGATTGGCCCCAGCCGTGGAACTCCGTCCCCAGCAACGGCCAGGGAGCTCCAGCCCAGGGAGCTGTGGCTAGACAGGCAGCAGTGGAGCCAGGCTGGAGCCCTAGCCAGAGGAAGGGGGCAGCAGTTTAGCACAGGCCAGAAAGGGCGGGAACTACCCTGGCCTGGCGAATCCCCTCATTTGGGGCTGGTCAGGTCCTGAGGGTGCCGGACCAGGGAAGTCCAATCTGGAATGATGCTGAGGAGGAGGCAGCACTCCCTGGCTTGAAGTCCTGATAGCCATGACATACTACCCTGTTTTGCTCAGTGGCTTTCAGCACTCTCGCTGTAACCCCTGCCAGCCGCTCCTGGACTAGCAGCAGCTGCAGGGGTGTGCAGTGTGGGGAGGAGCAGGGTGGCAATCAGAATGACGTGATTTTTAAGGTGAGCAGTCTCATGGCCAGCCAGCCAGCGCTAGAAACAACTGTTACCCAGGCCTTGTTTTGTGGCTCATGACATTTGGAACCTTAAGCCTATCACTGGTCCTACTGTTTGCCTTTTGGGCCCAGACCCAGGCCTGGGTATGGTGCATCTTGGGCCTGCATCCAGAGAAACTTTCATTTTCTTTTTGTCACTAGGGTCACATGAAACGGAGCAGGCTGATGGAGATTGGTTCTGGAGGACAGCTGGTTGCCTGCAGAGTTCCAGGGGGAAAGCATGTTGCTTTCCATTTTTTAGTGAAGTATTCTTCAGCTATTCTTTCCATTAGCAGAGCAGTTGGATTCAATTTGTACCTCGTGGCGGGAAAGTATTTTTGAATGGTTTGGAATTGTAATAGTTTTATGACATCCTATGGATTTGCAGCCGTGTTGTATTGGATTTCTCTGCTCTATGTCAATGTGAGTACCTCCAATGTGGGGAATTCTCGCCTTTCGGAATATGCTGAAGAATGGCTTACTAAAGGGCTTTCAATGCAGCTTTGCAAAATTGTCATGAGATGATACTGGCCCAGGCTCCATCTCCTGGAAGGAATATAAACCCTTATGCTTCTGGACATAAACTGCTTGCTGCCTATTGAGGGTTAGATGGAAACTTGTGTGCCTTACTCCATTGCTACCAGAGGGTTGGTTGCACCTTTTTATGAAACATCTTGTGCCTGGCCATTGTCAGTAACAGAATACTGGAGTAGAGGCATCTGGAATTTGAACCCCTGTGGCAATGAGATCCAGAGAGATCTGACTCCTATGTGCCCTCCTTTTACCATGCTGTTGAAAAACTAGAGAAAACTTAGATGACCCTCAATGCCCGCCCCCCAAAAAACCCTAACCTCGGGTGAATGGGGCGGGAGAAATGTGCTTGGTAGTTGCTATAACACTTTGTGGTGCAACAGCATCTCAAAGAATATGACAGAGGTAGGCATTACCCCTGTGTTACTGAGAGCTGAAGTAAAGCAGACAAAAGTGAAGTGAGTTGACCAAGGTCACATGGTGAGTCAGTAACAGAGTTGAGAATAGCTGCTGAGAGTCTGTCTACAGTGACCCGCAGCAATGAGTCTCAGCGTTCTGGACAACTGACTAAACATGTGGGGCTCTGAGACCTTCCCACCTTGCCCATGTGGACATACCCTAAGGCTTTAGTCATGAGTCCTTGTCCTAATTACCGGTCTGTGCTGTCTGATTTATCGGTTAAGAACACAGAAAGTAGGCATCCATGCTGCTAAGTTCTGGAAGAACCCTGCCCTTGTTCTGATGTGTATTCCAGCATCTCTCCGCAGCCAGGAGCACCAGAGATCTCTCAGTCTGCTTGGATAGAGATTTCCAGGACATTCCCACTTTAATCATGAACAGACTGTGCTTAGGCTCCTTCAGCAATGCTCTGCCTGTGGCGATCAAGCAAGGGCAGACATAGCCTCCCAGTTCAATGGCAGACGTAGCCTCCCAATCCAATTCTCCTCCTCAGCTTGCCAAGGGGGCACCAACCACTCCCCCCCAGTAGCACCTCTGCCCCAGCACTGTAACCCTAATCCTGGCTAGCTGGGTGCAATGGGGAGGCCCCAAGATTAGGCAAGAAAGGGGCTTGGAGAGCAGTGTTCCCTGTAAGCTGAGTACTTGGGTGGTCACCTAGGAGAGATTCAAATGCTACCCAGCTGATTAGCAAAGCACCCACAGGCTCCAGAGTGGTGCACATCTGCACATGCCTTGGTGCATGTAACAAAATGTATTCTGCACATGGATGGAAAAAATTTAGAGGTGGAGAATGAGCATTCACTCAGCAGTTGCGACTCCCATCCCCATGGGGCTGGGCCTCTGGAGGGACGGCCAGGCCAAAGTGGAGATGAGGGGCCCTGTACAAGCACGCCACTTGCACACTTGGTTAATCTGGGCCCAACTTCTGTTAGTGCAGTTGCCTCCATGGCCCTCCACAGAAGCCCCAACTGCTCTCAGGTCTAGGGCTCCCGAGTTATTCACTCAGCAGTTGCGACTCCCATCCCCATGGGGCTGGGCCTCTGGAGGGACGGCCAGGCCAAAGTGGAGATGAGGGGCCCTGTACAAGCACGCCACTTGCACACTTGGTTAATCTGGGCCCAACTTCTGTTAGTGCAGTTGCCTCCATGGCCCTCCACAGAAGCCCCAACTGCTCTCAGGTCTAGGGCTCCCGAGTTTGGTTGAACGTACTCCTGGAGGTTTTGTTGCATTGGCAGCCCTAAGCCAGGTCAGCATTCTCACCCACCGCCGCCCCCCCCCCCCCGCTCGACTCAGGAATCCCAACAATGAGGAAGCTGGTACCCTGGGAGAAGTGGCCACTGAAATCAACGAGAATGAGGGGTGCTATGTTGGTGGCTGGTACTGACAATTAGAGTTGCCAGTTGTCCGGTTTTTGTCCAGACTGTTGACTGTTATTCGGGTCCCCTGTACGGTAGAAAAAAACCAGAAAATACCGGACATGTGAAATGTCCAGTATTTCCTGTTTCCCTCGGACGGAAGCCCGGCGGGGACAATTTTCCCCTGCCGTGTCTGGCGGGGGCTGAGGAGTGAGGAGTGTGAGGCCATTTAAAGGTGCAGCCCCCCCTTTTCTTCCTCAACAAGTTTGGTCTCACCCCTGTTTTTTTTGTTCAACAGAATTTTTTCCCGGTGTTTTTTTTTGTTTGTTTTTTTTTGAGGGGGAGCGTGTTTGGTATTTTTTGTTAAACCATCTGGCAACCCTACTGACAATGCACTAGCCTACATGGAGACTTTGGTGCCTTCTTTGCAATGCCTATTGGTGCCTGAGATGCCTTCCATCAATAAACACGTTTCCAGGCCTGGCCGTCTTGCAGTGAGCAATACTTTGTACCTTGCAGGAATGGCCCCTAATACGTGCAGTGAGCAATACTTTGTACCTTGCAGTACTAATACTCCACACAGGTTCAAAACACAGCACTTGCCCTGTTTCCTGGCCTTTATTGCTGCAGCTCTTCTCTTGCACAGGTGTGACTAAATAGCTCTTACGTTGCATCAGGCGACACTGGTCGCTCTGGCTCAGCCAAAACAAGAAGATAGTGGAGGGAAGCTGTCTACTGAGACAGCCCCCACATCCCAATGACTGGATGGGAGCTCCCTTGATGGGCTATAGAAAGGAGACCTCAGCTATCATAGGTCCTAGGTTTAGTCATCTGAATGGACGGGGAGGCTCCTTATGTACGGTCACTTTCTGATCATTCAGTTACACCTGCCTTTGCATTCCGGGTAAGTTCCATCCTTTGTTTGCCTCTATAAACCCGTCTGA